GGAGTGTAAAATGGACGGCTTTTGAAATTGAAATTCCGAGAACCACATTGAGATGCTACTTCACAAAATGTAAATATATGGGAGTTCACAATTATAAGCCAGAATCAGCAGAGAAGGGGCAACAAGATAAACAAAGCATATGTTTCAGAACGTTCAATTGATTTGAAAACCAGTGACCATTGTTGGAATATGGGGTGGCCAGAGTAGCCTATAACAGCTCCAACAGTGGCCACATTTTGAAAATTAAGAAAAAAGGAGTGTAATTTTTTGTAAATATTTTTTTTGCATAATTCATATAGGTTGTCTTTTAGACAAATAATTAAAGTAGGTATTTAAAATAAATATTTGAACAATAAATTGACCGAAATGGGCAAGTTACAGCAATAGAAGTAAATGTGGCCACTATACGTGGTTCTCTCCTACTTTATTATTGCATTCAAAATCGTTCAGTAAAATGACACTTTACTGTATGAGATTGCGATTTCTGATATGGTTCACTCATGTATAATATACAGTTTAGAGCAGTGGTTCCCAACCTTGAAAGTAGCGCAGACCAATTTCGTCAAATCAGGATTTGCGCTGACCACCAGCGGCGTACCTAGACTGGAACCTTGGGGAGGCGGAGAGGGATACAAAGTAGGAGGAAGCTCGCCGCAGGCGCCGCCAGAGTTGGATTTCTTTTTCTGTTGCCAGGACCAAAAACCTTCCCTTTCACTATTTTGAGTCTCAAAGCAGTTCATTTTGGCAGTTAAAATTCCATTTCGACAGAGTTTTCTAGAGGTCATTAGCAGGAACCTGCAATGAAAAATTGGCGTGTTCGATAAGATCATTCTTATGTCGAGTGATCTCGAGCGGATTTGTGACGTCATTATTCTTTTTGGAAACAATTCTAGAGGGGAATAATCTTAAGCACTAATAAAAGTTGCATCTCTCGTCGTGGGTAAGCTTTTGTAATGTTTTAATAGCTAAGTATGGTGCTGCTGTCGTCCCATAGGTTACAGTTGTTAAGCAATATTCATTAATTGGTGTGTCATTATCAAATCTCCATAAGATTTTCTGATACTTCAGGTCATCAGCGTGAATCTTTATCTGCCTGTACATTTTTTGTTATCACTACTTTATGTGACCTCCAGCGTAGCAGTATATCTGACAGTTCTGGCTGTAGTCTGGGACCTGCATACATGGTTTTGTTGAGGTTCAATTTTGATGAAGTTTTACTGGAAACATCAAAAAACTTTGTTGTACACTACAATTCTTTGAATATCGGTTGATGTGAAATAATATATTGATGCTGTAATTCTGTATGTGGAAGCATTTTCATGTGATATTCTTGCATAAATTCCTTATAAGCGATTTCCAATTTTTTGTTACTGCTCATTCTTTTCTCTAACTGAACTAGTGCGATGGCTTGTGTTCTAGACACTCCTAATAGACCCTTTTTTCTATTGAATGGAATTCTAAATGTGTATGTTCCATCTGTATTTCTTTTAGTAGTGGCTTCGTAATGGTGTTCGCAATATTGATCATCTTCTGATAACGGATGTGTTTATGAACCTTCTTCTTCTTCAACTTCCTAAAATTTAGTTAATTGTCTATCTTCTTCAATACACGTTATGCTGCATGCATGCTGATAACTTGTAGTTTGTTTCCCAAATTTTTAAGACGTATTGGAGATGATATGCAACTTGCTCATTACGTCTTTAAGACGTACTTGGCTCTAAAATTGACGTCTCACAGACGTACAGTATGTCATAACGTTACATCTAATGTAGGTACATCTTTAGAATGTAATTGTGTTTGTTGTCGAGTTTAGTGGGTCGATGTTATTATTAGTGAGCACGTATTGTTGTTGACATTCCACAAAATATTAAAGATCGATGGACAACCAGCATCGGCATCCGTTTGGATCAAGCTCTCCTCAGGAACACTTCACCCAGTGAGAGTATCGCTACACTGCTCTTCAGGGTTGCCGGTACCCGGAAGAGTCTTGGAAAAATCTCCTTCATGACATCGGCGCCTATACGTATGTGAACCCAGTTGCACCCCGTACAATATACGTTAAACTCTTTTTTGTAGTTGTATGTTTTTCTGAAGACCAACACCTAACCTCAGGTTTCATCCATCACCATCACTAGCCGCAAGGCCTTTGTGACAATTATGTGGAATAATATTGTATACCCAGGACTGATTCTTGATTGTGGACATTGTGGTTGATCAGAAGAACATTTTACATCCACTGTGACACGCAGAAAGATATGATTCGAACTTTCGACACAGGAATCTTTCCTACATGGAAAATATCAAATCTCATCCCTATATTTAAATCCGGAGACCATAAACATTAAAAACTATAGAGGGGTACATCTTTTATCCCATATTCCCAAAATAATGGAATCCATATTGACTGACGACATTTACTCTTGCTACGAGAATTACATCCCTAATGAACAACATATACTTTCTGTCAAGGCAAATCGACCGACGGGTACAAAGTTGGCCTGTTATCAACAAGCCTCAACTATTGCTTTGGAGTCTGGGAAATAAGTTGACGTCATATATAAAGATGTACCTATCTAAAACTTTCGACAGCGTCTGTCATAAGATTCTACTGAGAAAGCCATCATGCATCGGTTTTAGTGGACATTTCTTGTCTTGGACTCACTCCTACTTGACTACGCCAACCTACCATCCGGTGTGCCTCATGGATCACACATCGGCCCAATTTTATTTGTCTTTTTTATTAATGATGTCGTTGGTTTTTTCAAAGGTTCACGGTGTCTATTGTATACCGATGACCTTAAGCTTTTTGCTACTGTGAACTTAGATTCCAAGCCCACCTGGATATAGACTTGCTAATTGGTGTAACAGTAACCTGTTAAAACTTAATCCCAAGAAGTGCAAGCACATACGTTTCTACAAAAGAACGAATCCATTCCTGCACACATTCTTTCTGGAAAATGCAACATTGGAGACTGTTGACACCATTAAAGACTTGGGAGTTTGGGAGTCATATTCCAGCAAACATATCGATAATATTGTGCTTAAGAGTTTTAGACCGCTCGGCTTTATCAAGAGAAACAACAGATGATGTCAAAGCAATAATTACACTTTACTACAGTCTGATAAGGTCTACATTGAAGTACTGTAGTATTTGGACACCTTACTATAACTGTAACATCCAGAGAATCGAAAGAGTTCAGAATAGATTTGTAAAATACTTGTTATACAAAATAAGATTTTCGTATCAGGATGTAAAGTACAACACTCGTTTGCTGTTATGCGCGTGGCTTAACAAGTCTGGAAAATAGACGTCAGAATGCACAATTAATCTTTTTGTATAAGTTGATATGTGGTATTACTTGTTCACCAGAAGTTTTATGAGAAATCCATTTCCGCGTCTCTGGCAGAAGAACTAGACAAAGACAACTTTTTTTCCAACTAAGCTCACGCCCCGAAAGCAATGGGCCTTTTGGCTCTAACTCTAACATAATCAGCAAAATTATGTGACTCACACAGTCAGTGTAGTCTTTGAGAAGTTACAGAACACCCTCGCGGTATAGCAAAGCCATTGTTGTAGTACTTAAGATTAAGAAATTGTTCTAGAACGCGAAACATGGCATCATGGGTACCTTTCTTAGGAAGGAATCCAAATTGGGCAGAGTTAAAAACTTATGTTTTGATAGGAAGTTCATCATACGTTTTTTAAGACAATTTTCTACAACAGTGGAAATTGTCGACAGCAATGATATTGGGGGTACTACATTCTGTGGTACTACCAATGAGACTAGGTGGGAAAATGCCTGATGAAAAGGGCAGGTTTATTGTTTTTATTGATTTCGATAGAACACCAAGGGCCTGGTTCAGAAGTTTCCTTAAGATTTTCGTAAATGTACCATCTGAACCGGCTGATGGACTGATTTCCAATTCCGGGTCCTAAGCAAACAAAACAGCGACAAGACAAAGACATTCATGTTTCGCGACAAAGTGGCGACAAATCCAAAACATTTCTGCGACATTTTTGTTTTCAAATCTGAAGACTTTTGCGAGTCCCGTCCCAAGTCTGTCTACTCAAATGACTGTTGAGTTTGTGTTTTGTTTATGTTTTCTAAAACCTGAAAAACTGGAACAAACCCCCTTGACAAACCCAAAAGTCTTGTTTTCATCAAGCGGACTACGTTTTGTTTTCTCGTGCCTTATCCACTGATTGTTTGTCGTCCAACTATCAAAGTGTTTAGACACATTTTCAGTTGTGGTTAATTTACTTATACTGTGGTACTTGGGAAAAAAGTAAAGTGTACCAGTGTACCTATATATTTTTTGTATTAACTGACTAAAAGGGTCGAATTTATAGTTGTTCCGTGAGCTTAGAATGGACACTTGCTATCATGTCAATTCTAAACGTTCAAGGTTTCCTTAAGGTCTGAGGAAACCTTGAGGAAGAACTATAAATTCGGTACTAAAAAGACTTGAGTTTAAAAACACTAGGTCGACGTCGAAACCCTTTGATGTTTACCGTTTTCAAGTGGGACCCGAAAAACAAAACACCAACTGTCGCAAAACATGCTATAGTCTTGAAAATGTTTGCGGAAAGTTTGAGTTTTGTTTTATTCGACACGAGTTTGTGTTTTGTTTTTGTTTTATCCGTTTGGTGGAAAATCAGTATAAGGTGAACATCAAAGAATCTTTGTTTTTTCGTGTATTTTACGACAAATTATCGACGGACTGTGTTGACAAAAGTAGGGGGGAAACCAAATCAGTGGGAATTTAGTCCGAATGAGCTAAAATTTCTAGGGATTGTAGTCGTTCACTAGAATGAGCTTTCAGATTGCCATCTAGATTTAACCTTCCACGTATCGTGTAAAGCATCTACGTTTACATCATAGTAGGCGATTACAATGCGCCAAGCGCCAGATCATCCTTCTCTTTTTATATTCTTGATATTTTACCCCGGCTCTAGACCGAGCCGCGTTTCGTTTTGTGGATTTTAACTTGACATATGTCGAGGCTCTACTGTCAACAACATTAGTGTACCATATCCCAGTGATTTTACCCAAATAACTATCAACAAAAAGCAATTTAATACTAAAACAATTATTAATATTATGATAATTTAAAGTTTTAAGTTTGTAGTGCAATAAAAATGTCGGGGGCATATGCAGCAAACATTATAACCGAAAACGGTAAGAAACTAAGGTTATTAACAAAGTATTTTCGTCACCTAAATTCCTCTTAGGTGAACAATTTATTCCTGCTTCGCAAAGGCCCGACGGTACCTGGAGAAAAGCCAGGAGAGTAAAAGAGGGCTATGTACCCCAAGAAGAGGTTCCTTTATACGAAAGTAAAGGAAAACAATTCATGACAAAGAAACTGGAACCCGTAGTACTACCCAGCGGTAAAAGTGCTCAAAGACCGATTCCCGGTTTGTTTATCACTCAAGAAGACAAGCCGGAAAAAAAACCCAGCAAGAAGAAAGTCAAGAGCAGTAAAAGATCTTTAATTTTTTTAGTACAATTATACAAATATAATCAATAAACTAATTTTAGAAATTGAAGAGATAAATAAAATACTGCAAAGTACCAGTCTCGAATCGAAACCCCAAGAAACCACCGATCCGGCTAAGAAGCTGAAGAACCTCAAAAAGCGTCTGAGAGAAGTGGAAAACCTTGAAGACAAAATAAAGAGTGGCACCCTGGCCAAACCGGAACCCGAGCAATTGGCGAAAATCAATCGCAAAAACGATCTCTTGGTACAGATAAGGGAACTAGAAAAACTAATCTAAATAGATGTTAGGTACCTAAAACTCAGCTAGTAGTAGTTTTGTGATAAGTAATGCAACAAAATTTAATTTACTGCCAATTAAAAAACGGCTGTGATGATTATCATTTTTGGGCCTACAAAAAGATTTGTTGCATTATTCAACACAAATCTTTGAGCATTTATTTGTATTTTGTGTGATACTATTGTTGTCGGATAGTAACTATTTTGAGTTGCTAGAATTGTTTTAACTATTTTTTAATTTGTGTAAACTCGAAAGGACGTTTATTTAGAGGAGTTTGTGAGTGAAGCCCCTAGGTTGCTTTATTTGTCAAATTTTTAATCCTGTTTACCTGATCTAAGGTCTAAAGGGTTTACATAGACAGAAAAATTAGTAAAGTAAGCAATAAACTTTCTTTCGAATTGTTTCATGTCAAATAATAAATAATAATTGTGCAGATAAATGAGCGTTTTTAAGTTCGGGTTACTTGATCTTCTCAAGTTGTGATAACTGGAAGTGTTTTGGTGACAATGGACAAACAAATTTTCGAAAAAATATTTATTTTACATAAGAACTAAAGCTGTTAAAGCTAAATAATTATTATTGAAGCTGTGGTTAAGAAACTAAAATCTCCATGCTTGAATCAAAACAAGAAGTTGCTTAGTTGAAAAACGATCTTCTTGGTGGAATTATCAAAATCCAGTTATCAGTGAAGTTACGACGATACAAAAATATACTTATCAACCAATAATGCATCTTGAACAGGGTGATCTATTACAAATGTGACTCTCTCCTAACTTTTTCATGCGACTAAGTTTTGAGCATACGGGAGAAGAATAAATAATTGTTTCCTTGGCTTCCTTGATTTTTTGCTTTATGTTCATCTAAAACATCTGGATTTCATCATACATCTTTCCTAGTTCGGACCTATGTAACTGAGATAAATTTGACTTATTAATATCTGAGAAAATATTTGAATTCTCTCTGCTTTTCTCAAAATCCCTGAATACAACATTATATTCTCTGCATTTATCGCTCTCCTAGACTAGATTTGTTTGTACTGTTACTGGCCCTGACCTCTCAGACCTTAGCATCACCTCTGAAAGTTAAGTCTATTTGGAATCGTAAGAAGCAAGACCAAATATTAAGCGGAAAAAAATTCTCTCATTTTAAGCAAACCTGTAACATCTCTAAGGCAGAACTTCTTGAAGAATTCGATTTTACTCTGAGTAATATCTTTTCCTATAAAGCCCCTTCGTAAAGAAGATAACCGAAAATAATGAATGATAAAGGCTTCAAGATTTCTGCAGCTGACTTAATATCTTTAAATTTCATAAGAAAACACTTTGTTGAAATTATAGTCCTTTCATCATGAACGACATATTATCTGAAATATAAAAATCTTATGCGTACCTACTATGCCTAGACACTTCTACACAAATCGTTTAAGCATGTACCTATATTTTCACTAGGGTAGTTACAGTGGTAGGAGTCGTTATTTCTAAGGATAGAAATAAGTACACAAATCTTCTGCATTTAAAATGGTTAAAATATCTTTATTTATTTATTGAGGTGAACAACATTCTTTCTGGCCTCGGGTCCCACGCTTTCAGAAATTCTTTTCTTTCAGAATCTATAAGCCGACAAAATTTGCAGGTGTTCGTTTTTCAAATTTTTTCGTAAACTTTCATTTTTCTCGGTACGAATACATGTTACTTCGTCTTTAATTAAGTTCCTGCCTTACTGAACTCGTCTTTTGTGAATCATTACAGTGCCAATAAGTCTAATATGGGAAACATAGTCTTAGAATACAAGAAATTTTACAGCTTTAATTTCACTGTTGCTGATAACCTGCAACCGCCAAGCCGGTTGTTGATCCATCAAGTTATTTTAGAAACTTGCATGATAATGAACCTCTTCATTGTTTTTCACCAATATCCGCCATGAAGTAATGCTAGGTCCAGACCAAGCAGACAACAAGTAAACACAATTTTGACACGACAAAATTGCAACAAAAATTAGGCATTCAAAACAAGACACTGAAACCAACTGGACTCTACCGACTCGCGACGGGACTTGCAACAAAATAAAAATCAGACGCCGAAATGTATTGTATTTGTCGCCACTTTGTCGCGAAGCATGAATGTCGCTGTTTTGTTTGCTTGGTCTGGACCCGGCATTAGAAATCAGTCCACCATTCGGTTCAGATGGTATAGTTACAAAAATCTTGAGGAAACTTCTGAACCAGGCCCTTGGTGTTCTATCGGAATCAATAAACCTTTGTCCTTTTCATCAGGCATACTTTTCCACCTAATCTCAAGGGCGCATTGGTAGTACTGATACATACAAGGGCGGGAATAAAAAAAAGTGCTATCTAATTATCTCCCAATATTATTGCTGTGGACAATTTCCAATGTTGTAGAAAATTGTCTTAAAAAACGTATGATGAACTTCCCATTAAAACATAAAGTTCTTAACTCTGCCCAATTTGGATTCCTTCCTAAAGAAAAGGTACCCACGATGCCATGTTTCGCGTTCTAGAACAACTTCTTAATCTTAAGTACTACAGCAATGGCTTATTTGCTATACCGCAAGGGTGTTCTGTAACTCTCAAAGACCTTTTGACTGTGTGAGTCACATAATTTTGCTGAGGATGTTAGAGTTAGAGGCCTATTGCTTTCGGGATGTGAGCTTAGTTGAAAAAAAGTTGTCTTTGTCTAGTTCTTCTGCCAGGGACGAGGAAATGAATTTCTTATAAAAGTTCTGGTGAAAAAGTAATACCACATATCAGCTTATACAAAAAGATAAATTGTGCATTCTAACGTCTATTTTCCAAACTTGTTAAGCCACACAACAGCAAGCGAGAGTTATAGTCCATATTTTGTATAACAAGTATTTTACAAATCTATTCTGAACTCTTTCGATCCTCTGTTAGTTATAGTAAGGTGTCCAAATTATACTACAGTATTTCAATATAGACCTTCCAGACTGTAGTTAAGAGTGATTATTGCTTTGACATCATCTGGTGTTTCTCTTGATAAAGCCGAGTACTCTAAAACTCTTAAGCACAATATTATCAATGTTTGCTGGAAAACAAACTCCCAAATCTTTAATGGTGATCAACAGTCTCCGCAATCTTGCATTTTTTCAGAAAGTAGCTATGTGTGCAGGAATGGAGTCATTGTTTTGGAGAAACTTATGTGCTTGTACTTCTTGGGATTAGGTTACTGTTACACCAATTAGCAAGTCTATGCAGGTCGGGTTGGAATCTGAGTCCCCAGTAGCAAAAAGCTTAAGGTCATTGGCAAACATCGTGAACCTTTGAAGCAACCATCAACGACATCATTGATAAAAAGTGTGCACCGGATGATACTGAAAACTCATGTGAGAGTATACCGCACATTTTCACACGTTGTTGGCGCCCAATTAAGTAGGAGCGAATCCAGGACAAGAAATGTTCACTAAACCAATGCATGATGGCTTTTTCAGTAGAATCTTACGACAAACGCTGTCGAAAGCTTAAGATGACGTCAACTTGCTTCCCAGACTCCAAAGCAACAGTTAGGGCTTGTTGATAACAGGCCAAGTTTGTCGATTTGCCTTATAGAAACCATGTTGTTCATTAGCGATGTAATTTTTGTAGCAGGTAAATGTCGTCAATCAGTATGAATTTCATGATTTTGGGAATATGGGATAAAAGAGATACCCCTGTATAGTTTCTGATGTCAGATTGGATTTATTCACAGGGATCTGATTTGATATTTTCCATGTTGTAGGAAAGATTCCTGTGTCGAAAGTTCGAATCATGTCTTTCAGCGTCTTACTCTAGATGGAAAATGTTCTTTTGATCAACTGCAATCAAGGATCACTCTTGGGTATACAATATTATTCCTCATAATTGTCACAAAGGCCTTGCGGCTAATGATGGTTAGGGGTTGGTCTTCAGATAAACACACTACTACAAAAAAGAGTTTAACGTTTATTGTATGGGATGCAACTCGTTCCCATGTCCTGAAGTGGATTTTTCCAGGACTCTTTGGGGTACCGGCAACCCTGAAGAGCAGTGTAGCTTGCTGCAGCTCTCACTGGGGTGAAGTGTTCCCAAGGAGAGCTTGATCCAAACGGATGCCGATGCTGGTTGTGCCTCGATGTTTTATATTTTGTGGGATGTCAACAATACTAATAATAACATCGACCTGTATATTTTATTATTCTTATTCATCGCCAACCGTCAGTAGAGCTATACATTACCATAGCGATTTCCGGAAGTAAAGAAATAGGTACTTTATTCCACTATATTTCACCTGCCGCAAATATATTTGCAGAGTTCTATGTTGAGGATTCGCAATAGAGCAAAAATCGCGAAGACGGCTTCCACCAGATTCAGATGCATGAAAACGACATCGTCTGAACTCAACAGTCAAATCAAATTGACACCATAGTTGTTACCAATGAAAATTCTATTAAAGAAGAACTCTATCAATTTTTATGGTTGCCTGCCTTATTACATAAATAACTATTACAGGCCGATTATATCTTACCATGCAAGAATCATCTGATCGTGTCTTCGCATCGGATTATTATCTTAACGCTACTACTACAATAATTATTTCTTAATTCTATATCTTATTTCCTAACATCCTAACATTCTGGTCCCTTCTTTATTGACGGCCCTTGATTTCAGTTATTAGGATGTTCATTTGTACTGTTTTTGTTGCTTCAAGCAGATCTCAAGAGTAGATCCGCGTTCACTTATCCCTATTGAACGCTGCTAAGTAGCAGCTCTTAGCAGATCTTTCTGATTTTTCGAGCAGGTAGACCATGTACAAATGAACATCCTTTAATGTAATAATCAAATTCTAAACACCTACAAATAAACCAACAAAATCGTAAACCATAACGACAATATTCTATCTAAACTCTAACAGAAAATAAAAATGAATTAGAAATCAACGAAGAACTTCTTTGCTCTTCCACCTTGACCTTTGCTCTTACTTCTAGAAGTTGCTTGTGACGTGACGACCTTCATCTTTGGATTTGGATCTTTCATCCCCACCATTAGTAAACCTTAAGGCGTCTCCAGTGGCTTCTTTGATTTTGCTAAATCCAAAACGGAATTACGGAAGACCTTGGATCTTTTAGCAGAATGATTGCGCAATTTTTGATCAGGGTATCTTCCCGATTCTCGAAGTCTCCAGATTTAGACATGGAACCACTTCTTTGGCCTCACTTTCCCATACATGTACATACATTTTTCAATACGTTCTTCAACTCACTGCGTCTGAAATGTATAAATGAAGAACCCAACCAGTCGGTGCAGGTTCACACAATGCGAAGTCTTGGGTTTATTGGAGAAATATTATAAACCTGACAATCTTAAAAATATGATTGACAACTATAAGATGTTTTGTGACTATAAGTACTGACTACCACCATGCTAATCATTAAAAGGTACATAAGTAATACAAAAAATAGGTAAAAGGGTGACGGGTTGGTCACCTTACAGCGTCCATAAGGAAATCTCAATGTAAATTCGAACATTCCTACTTATTGTCGTTTGCGGATTTTGAAAACGCTCATGTTACGTGCCCTCTTCATTCTTAGTTTAAAGCCTTATTTCTATGTTATATGGAAAGTTTCTTAAAGTCTGTCTTATCTATCCTACTAAATTCAGGTAACGATGTTGGGATACGGCAATGCCCGTTTTCTTGATACTTCGGCGAATGTCACGCTACTACTATAATATATCACTTGGGTCTTACGTCTAGTGAGGGTTTAACTTGAGGTTAGGAGTTGTTCTTCAGAGAAAAACACTTAACCATAAAAAGGAGCTTAACGTACATTGTCTGCTAATGGGTACATTACCAAAGGGGCACTATATGGTTCCCCACGATCCTTTTGTAGGCGTATTTTTGGTTCAAAATTGCTGAAACATCAACTTTTTTGAAACAAGTTTCAAGTCTTTTTGAATTTCCAAAAACTTTGCAAAATTATATCTCCCATTGTATCCAAAGATAAAATTCCTAAAATCAAATATACGTGAACAAAAATAGTTTCTAGCATCTGTAACGACGACACATTGCGCACAACTGTGTATTTTTCCATAAGCCTTGGATTTTACTCCAACTCTCTCTCACTTATAGGACAAACAACAATCTAACCTCATTTTGTAATAACCATGTACAGTTTCCAAGTTGGACAACGCAACGTCACACATTTAATGTCCACAAGTGTTAACAATTTCATAATAAAAACATCTTTGTTTGTTTGAAATCCGACACCCTATAAATGTGTAAAAACATTGAAAAAACACCCCCATCGTTCAAATATGACGAAGGTAAAACTGTATTTGTTGATTTGCAGTTTACTTGCTGGGACAGTTTATAATAATGATGAATCTAGCGAGGTAATTGTTTAACACACCTTTGTACATTTTACACCCTTAAAACTAATTTATAGCAGAAATTCGAATTAGCTCAAGAACAAGACAATCGTCTGTTGTTGCTAGCCACCTTGGATGGCAGCTTAATAGCTGTTGATAAGTACGATGGGGCAATTAAATGGAAAATTAAAGACAGTAATGAATATATCATATCATATCAATTACTTTGATAGTAGATAATTGTAATATTTTAGAGCCCATAGTACAGGTGCCTCTTGACACTAGACAAGCCTTAATTCCAATATTTCTCCCAGACCCTCGTGATGGGTCTTTGTATTTGATGGGCAACAGCCAGGAGCCCCTTAAAAAGTTACCATTTAACATACCCCAGCTGGTACATTCATCCCCTTGCCGAAGTTCCGATGGGATTTTATATACTGGTCAGTGAATTATTAATATGATAATGAATGGGTATAATATTGATTTTTATGGCGGGGAATTATTTATAAGACAATAATAATATCTGTAAGATCTTTTCAGGTAAAAAAAAAGACACGTGGTATAAATTAGACCCAAAAACTGGTAACAAAGAACGTATATTAGGCTGGGGTGATAGCAGCCCCACTTGCCCTGTAGAAGTCAACAATTTCGTTTACATAGGACGAACCAAATATAATATTTTAATGGTGGACACTAATACACACAATAAAAAGTGGAACGTTACTTTTTATGATTATACAGCAGCTGATATGGGGGTTGACGAGTTTAGCAATTATGGTACCAAACCCTAATCTACAAAAACCTAAACAAAATTAATTGTATTTATTAATGCAGACTTGGTTCATTTTGCTTCAACATCAAGCGGAAAAGTTTTAACTCTAGATAGAAGACGCGGAAATTTACTATGGAAATCCGACCTAAGCAGCCCTGTAATTGCAATTTACCTACTATCACTAGAAGGCCTTATTAAAGTACCATTTACAAGCCTCAGTAATCACACAATAAATTATTTGGCTTCAGAAATAGAAAAGCATAACGGCCTGATTGACAATCCTAATCATATGAAGCTTTAGTAAGTAATCAAATTATAATTAGATGTATAATATAATATGGAATTTTTTAGTCCTACCCTTTACATAGGCGAACATCATCATGGTTTATACGCAATACCCTCTTTAGTAGACCAAAACTTAGTCACAATAACAGCTTCAGATAATGGGCCTTTGCTTTTGGGTGGTCCTCATGCACCCGTATACAAAAACCAATACCTCTTGCCAGGTCGCAACTATAAACTACCCCAAGAAGCTTTGCCCGAAAAAACATTTCAAAGTTTGCCCGAGTTTAACGGGCACATTACCATTTATACGGGGCATTACAACGTGCCCAATTACACTAAGGCAGATTTTTTAGGAGGCCCGAATAAACAAATCAAGTTGATTGCGCATAAAGAAACTCAAACCGAAACCAAATGGCTGACAAATTACTACAAAGACACCAAACAGTGGATTAATCAGCAAGAAAATAAAGGGCTCAAGTTGAGCTTGATTATAATGACTGGGATTGTGTTTGCCATGTTTTGGTACCTGCTGATGCAGGTGCGCGAAGTGCAAAATTTGTCGCAAAACGGTTCCAAGGGCAGTCAAGGTTCTTTTGGCAGGCACGGACAAGTAACTGCGTTTGCCGAAGAGTTACCTGGTGGTTTGGTGAAGGTTGGAAAAATCACTTTCCATCCGGAACAGTTGCTGGGGAAAGGGTGCGAAGGGACATTTGTTTACAGGTAATTATTAGTGTGGAGTTATTTATATAAAATATTGTTTTTTTAGGGGCGAATTTGATAATCGGAGAGTTGCTGTTAAAAGGCTGTTGCCTGAATGCTTCACTTTTGCTGATAGAGAAGTTGCTTTGTTGAGGGAAAGTGATGCTCATTCAAATGTTATAAGGTGAGATTTGTTGGTTTACAAAGACATTGTAGTATTTGTGATATAATCGCTTAGGAATTACGTTCATATTCCATGTCCTAAATACTCTTTTTCCATAAAGAGAAATGACATTTAGTTAAACGCAAAGTCAGACCAGCGCTTTGAAGTGAAAGTACTTCTTCAAATTATCAAGACCTACTTCAAAACTTGAAGAAGCAAGTATTACGTCGTCCATGTATGCTAGTGCCTTTCTGTAACTCAGATTTCCAAGAACCCTATTAATGGTCTTTTGAAAAAATGCAGGCGCATTGCACAATCCAAATGGTACTCGTAGTGTCCATCTAGTGTTGTGGAGGCAATTTTTGGAATTGAAGATTTCTCCATAGGAATCTGGTGGTATCCACTGGCCAAGTCCAAACTCGTAAAATAGTGACAGCCTTTCAATTTTTCCAAAAATTCGTCAACACGGGGAAGGGGAAACTTGTCTTCCCGTATTATGCCATTACATAAAAGATCATCAACCATTTACAACTTTCCGTTCATTGTAAAATAAACGATATGAGCTGCTTTCTTTTCAGGGGCTTGGACGCCCTAGGGCGCCCTGGATAGCGATTTTGAAATGTAAACAACCGTCGGGGTCGTCTATCCCCACCGCTAGCGCCTCAGCGAAGGTAAAAATTCTTTCAAATTAGCAAGACCTACTTCAAAACTTGCAAAAGGAAGTATTACGTCGTCCATATATGCTAGTGCCTTTCTATAACTCAGATTTCCAAGAACCCTCTATTAATAGTCCTTTGAAAAAATGCAGGCGCATTGCACAATCCAAATGGTACTCGTAGTGTCCATTTAATGTTGTGGAGGCAATTTTTAGAATTGAAGATTCCTCCATAGGATTCTGGTGGTATCCACTAGCCAAGTCCAGACAATTTTTTCAAAAATTCGTCAACACGGAGAAGGGGAAACTTGTCTTTAATGGATTTCCGTATTATGCCATTACAAAAAAGATCATCAACCATTTACAACTTTCCGTTCATTGTAAAATAAACGATATGAGCTGCTTTCTTCCTGGATCACGATTTTGAAATGTAAACAACCATCAGGGTCGTCTATCCCCACCGCTAGCGCCTCAACGAAGGTAAAACTTCTTTCAAATTATCAAGACCTACTCCAAAACTTGAAAAAGGAAGTATTACGTCATCCATGTATGCTAGTGCCTTTCTTTATCTCAGATTTCCAAGAACCCTATTAATAATCCTTTGAAAAAATGCAGGCGCATTGCACAATCCAAATAGTACTCGTAGTGTCCATCTAGTGTTGTGGAGGCAATTTTTGAAATTGAAGATTCCTCCATAGGAATCTGGTAGTATCCACTGGCCAAGTCCAAACTCGTAAAATAGCGACACGACAGCCTTTCAATTTTTTCAAAAATTCGTCAACACGGGGAAGGGAAAACTTGTCCTTAATGGTTCATGATGCATGATGTATGATGGACTTGTTTGCTAGTCTTAGGCCAGCTCATGCCAGCTTGACAAACTACAGAGAGCTGGTTTAGCTGGTGACACCGGGCTGGTCCTGTTGTCTGATCATAATTTAGATTAGTTAATATTCAAAAACTGCAGATACTTCTTGAAATTAACTTTTATTTGACAGGGCGCGAAGCAAGGGTTAAACCATTGGGTTAAACTATTTCTATATACTTTTTAACATACATTCTTTCATCTATCTATCAAACTACAATTTACCCATCAGACAGGTTTTTTTTTTAATAAGCAGGACCCGAATCCCGAACCCACTATTCGATAGTATCGTCCATATAAATTACATAGACGATACTATCGAGTCGTGAGTTCGGGATCCGGGCCCTGATTTTAGCGTATATTTCAACATACCTTCGGTTTTAGAATCTCCATTATAAATTAACAATTTAGCTTGTAACACTTTGTTCTCCATAGAATTCATTTCTAAAGTAATTTTCTCACAAATAACAGCCTCCTATTATAACTTCTTTCATCATCTGTAACTATCACCCAGATATCTTAAAGATTGGCAAAACCAAAATAATCACTCTCAAACTTTTATCACATAAATCTCTCATTTCTAGGTACTATTGTATGGAACAAGACCGAATGTTCCGCTACATAGCCCTGGAACTCTGCCAGGCAACCCTGACCGAATACATGCAAGGCAAATGCGATACAACCGCCATAAAACCTCTAGAGATTTTGTACCAAGCTACATCAGGATTGGCCCATTTGCACTCTCTTGACATCGTACATAGAGACATCAAACCCCACAATGTCCTTATCTCAGTGCCAAATGCTAAAGGCCAAGTAAAAGTTATGATTTCAGATTTTGGTTTGTGCAAAAAGTTGCAGTTTGGCAAGGATTCGTTTTCGCGCAGGTCCGGAGTTACTGGAACTGATGGTTGGATTGCGCCTGAAATGATTAGCGGTTCTGGACGTACAACTGCTGCTGTTGACTTGTTTTCACTTGGGTGTCTTTATTATTATGTTCTTTCCAAAGGGGCTCATCCTTTTGGAGATGTTTTGCGAAGGCAAGCTAATATTTTACTTGGGGAGTATAATTTGGACCAGCTAGAAGGCTTGGATTGGGAGAAGGAGCTTCAAAAACCGCTCATAGAGGCTTTATTGTCATCTAGGCCTGATACTAGGCCTAGTTGTAATGCAGTTTTAAGACATCCAATGTTTTGGAGTTGTCAAAAGATTTTAGGCTTTTTTCAAGATGTCAGCGATAGAGTTGAAAAGGCTGAACCTAATGATTCAGTTTTATTAAAGCTTGAGCATAATTGTAAACCGATAGTTAAAAACGATTGGAGGTTGCATATTCATGAAGAAGTTGCCAAAGATTTGAGAAAATATCGTACTTATAAAGGGGACAGCGTTAGAGACCTTTTAAGAGCTCTTAGAAATAAGAAACATCACTTTCGAGAGCTCACAAAAGAAGCTCAAGAGTCTCTTGGAGAAATCCCTGAAGATTTTACAAGTTATTGGAACAGCAGGTTTCCTCTTTTACTTGTACACACTTATATTGCAATGCAATGTGTCTCTCAAGAAATTACTTTTCAAAATTACTATGACAAGTCGTATAAATATAGTACTGAAAGGTTTAAGCGGCAAGTTGACAGCTACATAGAATTAAATCCTTTAGCTGAAGCTTGCGATACGAATTTGGATCATTTTGACAAAAATTATAGTAACAGAAACAGCCCTAGAAGGTTTCAAAACGTAGGATTATATAGAAATTTAAGCCAAAATACTGTAGATTTAAGTGACATAAATGTTAGTTCTAAGGATAACGGGCCAGTTTATAAACCGCCTCAACGAAGGGAGAGTTATCCCTTGAAAATGAAACAGCGGAAGAAGAAGAAAAGTGATGAACCCTTAGTTTGGGCGATTGATAAATAAACTTATATTTGTCACAATGAAACATTCCCCTTGTTGATTTTGTTATTTTTTATTCTAAATTAACACTTTTTTACTGTGATACGTGCCTTTTAAATTAATTTTGTTTTACAAGGGTGTTACTATAAATAAATTATTTTAAATAAAAAATATCGAGTTTCAATTATTAGCTTAATTTTTATTGGATTTGAAATGGGTACGAATAAACAAATAACCTTACTAAGAGCTAAATTTAAATTAGTTTTAGTGTCTAAATGATGGGACTAGATTACTCCCATCGGCTCTTTTTTTTCCTGGATTGGACTGGAGGTGGAGGAGGCGGCGGGCTATCAGCACTTGCAGTAAACTGAAAAATTTCAATCGAAGTTATATCTGAACCTTGACCTGCTGACTATGCAGTTTTGCTCTTTCCATGATTCCTAAATAGTTTCGGACTTTGCTAACAGAGCCAATAAGGCAATTTAAGACGTTAATTAAACTTCTCAGAAACATTAATAATATTGCTTACAAGAGGTAACTCTTAGTTTCGAGTATCTTCTTATGTACCAAAAGTTCAACTTGACTTTGGTTTGTTCAGATTTCTTTGACATGTGTCGGCTGATGATCAATCAAGAATTTTCTTACCTGAGTCTGATATTGTGATTTAAAAGCCTCCTTCATAGCTGTCAATCGATCAGTAACAGGCCCTTTAGGTGCAGCACTGGTAGAAAGATTCCCAGAAGAACTGGCAACAAACCCGCGCATAGAACTGGCACTCTCCTTAAACCCAAACCCTATACCGCCAACCCCACTAGACGATTGTTGCCCTTTCTTTCTATTACGCTGACTTTTGAACCAGGAACTTTGTAGAGCCAAATCTAAAACGTCTTGAGGTACTGCTTGCTTGGCCGCTTCCAAATTTTTCACTATGTGACCGGCGAACTCTTTGTCTTTGTAGGTGAGCAACGTGTATGCGGTACCGTGAGTACCCGCCCGACCTGTCCTACCTATTCTGTGAGTGTGAGTGTCGATATCGCGAGCCAAATCGAAATTTATTACAGTCCGGACGTGTGGTATGTCTAAGCCTCTTGCGGCAACATCTGTGGCCACTAATAGAGGTACTTGTTGCTTTTTGAAGGCCGTAATTACTTTGTTTCGTTCAGCTTGTTCCATGTCCCCGTGTAAAAGCAAACAATCAAACTCTTTGATTAGTAAGTCTTTGGCTACTTGCTCCGCGTCTAGTTTCTTTGTTACAAAAATTAACACTGAGCCTGCCGACAATAATTCAACCAGCTTATTGAACAACCAACTACGTTTCGACTCTTGACTGGGCAAAAGTAATGCGTATTGAGTCACATCTTCGTTTGCTTGTCCAGTAACACCTAGAATTTGATTTAAAATAAGATACTACATACATGAAATATTCTAATTATTATTATTTACTTACCTTGTGAAATCCTAATAGGATCATCCAAAGCATCTTTGGCCAACCTTTCGATTTTCTTCTTAAACGTAGCAGAAAAAAGTAAAGTTTGTCGATCAGGCCTGACGTGATTGCAAACCGAACGCACTTGAGGCTCGAACCCCAACTCGAACATTCTATCGGCTTCATCCAAAACTAAAAACGTGACCCTTTGCAAATTGGTGGCGCCCCCTTTAACATGGTCAATGATACGGCCTGGAGTGGCCACTAGAATTTCCCCGCCTTCTTTTAACGCCTGAAAATACTCGTGCATTTCAGTTTTATAATTGTTTTTTATGTTTCACCTTGCTCTGTTCCCACTTTGATCCGCCGCCATAGGCGCAAATGACTCTCAAATCGTAAACTTTGGCAAACTTTTTGGCCTCCATATAAATTTGGATTGCCAATTCTCGGGTGGGTGCTAGAATCAAGGCTATTGGGCCTTCGCCCTCTTCCACAGGCCTTTGCACTGATACGTGTTTGAGTAAAGGCCACAAAAATGCAGCCGTTTTTCCACTACCTATACATTTTTGTATTAAATCTACACAAAATCGAAACAACAATAATTTTTACCTGTTTGTGCAATACCTAAAACATCTCGGCCCATCATAGCAGCTGGGACAGCTTGAGCTTGAATAGGAGTGGGCGAAGTATACTCAGCCTTAATTATTGTTTTTAAAAGTTTATCGTCAAAACCGAAATGAGCAAAAGAAGCTACCGGTTTGGGGATGTTAGCCCCAGTCACGGTTAAATCGTAAGTGTGTTTCAATTCAATGACTTTTTCGTTTGACAACATTTGAATTTCAGGGTGTTCGATGTAAAAGTTTTTCTGAAAGGGATGGTATTCGATTAAAGAGTGATCTATTGGAGGTAGAGGATCGATTATCCTTTTCTTGTCAGGGGGTATGGGATTGCCATCTTCATCGTATTCGATTTCGGTGCCGTCTTCTTCTACAGGCAACAGGCCCGCGTTTGGATTTTCTTCCATGTACCTGTAATAAGATTCTTCGTCGTCTTCTTCTTCCAAGTCGTTTCTTACCGCTTGCGGTTGTTGCTCGTCCTTTATTACAACTGCAGCTTTGTGAGTTTCTTTTTTAACCTAAATATTATTACGATATTCTCACTAAATTTGCAATTATTATTGAGTATCACCTCGGCTTCAATGCTGGCCATAAAAGCGTCAAGGGGGTCGTCATCTTCTACTTCTTCTTGTTTCTTTTTGTCCATTTCTAACCTGAAATTGGGTTCAAATATTTCCGGCAGGGATTTAAATGTATAAAATTACCTAGTAGGACTGTCTGGTGCTGGTATATAAGCCAGTTCTGGCACTTGTTCTTCATCTTCGACATCGAAATATCTGGAAAGGAATGGAATCAAGCAAATGACACTTTATGTTTTAATTGTTTATTTGTTTCAATAATACTTAAAATTAAAGACACACAGTGGGCAAAGCAACGTCTTACATCAGAGAAAGAGATGGGAATTTGATAGGCAAAGTGGAATAAGGATAGAAAGCTCTAGCAAATTCTCCTTCCACCGGCCCGAGGACCCAAGAAAACGCTTTTTTAAATGCTGTGGGCAACAATTCCTCGTTACAACGTTGCCAAATGATCAAGCACAATGTATGACTATCAATAATCATGCACAGTGCATAAATATTCTATGGAACGGCAACATTGGTTAGTCTTCTTATTGGAGGTGGAACAGGGGAAATCGTTTTCGTTCTCTATTTAACCTGAGACTTTTCTAGACATTTCATTCTATTGCATTAAAATGGATCTGTAAGATGTTCACTTGCCAAACCTGTATACCTATTTCTATGTACTATAAGCTAACATTTTCAAAAAGATAACTACAGGAGTATCAAAGAACGCTTAAGAACATTTGGAAGATTTCTAATAACTTTTAGAACATTCCAGCGCTTCAAAATCATTAGGTAACCAACTGAAAACTTTGGAAAGCATTTTGAAAAACTTCAGAATGCGCTAGCAGCGCAAAGTTACATTTTTAAGTATTCCAAGACCCTCTAGAGCAAATTTTTATGCAAAATTTAAAAAGTGTTTTTCTTTAAAGGCTCTATAGAAACACTCCGAGAGCTTGAAATAGGAGAAAAATTATTGAAAAGGGTGGGAATAGAGCTAAAATAAGCCAAACTTTGAAATTCGAGAGAATCAAATAAAATTTTAGAGGAAGTGCTCAGAGGGTTGGCAAAAATCCGTGTTTTTGATAATTTCTACTGGTTTTGTGTGATAGTTTCCATGTTTTTGTAGAGGGTTTTTGTGTTTTTAGATCTTTGAAATTTCAAGTAACCTGATACACAGAATCGAGGTGTGTTTCCCTATGAAATTTGTACACCTACTACATGGGTGAAACACCCTCGCTCAGAATTCAACTCAAAATTGTATATTTTTCTACTAGATTATCACAAACTTCTATTTTTCTAGTAGATATCTACAGAAAGTGGGTTTTTGAAATAATCAAAGCTCATTGGGTCTATGTCAATACTGATGATGAGTTTTTGTGTAGGTATGTCTACCCTGGAATTACTGAGAAATTACAGGAAAAGCTTCATCTGAGAGGTGTTTCACTCATGCAGTAGGTGTACAAATATCATACATTCATGTATATGCAGTCCATTATATTCTTCTGCAGTCCATACATTCTCATGCAGTTAATGGAATACATGGACTCATGCAGTCATAATACAGTCGCTTGCAATCGTTATAAACTCTGTGCAGTCCGAGGTGCAGTCACATACAGTAGCATACATTCCATATACATTCGCGAAAAATTGTAAGCAAGCCTGCAATCTTGTTAGATATTGCTCAAAAGTCGATGCAATCAACTTTGATGCAATCAATGCAGTCAAATACAGTAGCTGTACAAAATTTAGTGGGTGAAACACTTCTCGGCTTTATCAAATAATACAGCAAATTGCCATGCAAAATTTTAAAAGTATTTCTTTTTAGAGATATAGTAGAAACATACTCAAGAGTCTGGAATAGAAGAAAAATGAGCCAAAACAAAGTGGAGATTTAAGAGCCTGGAATAGATGAAAATGTTACTTCAGGCTTTTGACTGACTGTTCCTGTATTCTTCTACAAAAAGAAATTTGAATGAAAATAGAAATCCAAGAGCCTGGAATAGTCAAAAATTGAAACTAAAGAGAAGAGAAATAGAGATACCTAAGGATTTTAAGGAAATTTGATCATTTTACTTTTCTATTCCAGGCTTTTGACTGTTCCTTGATTCTTTTATGGAAAGTAATTTTATTCCAGGCTTTTGACTGTTCCTTGATTATTTTATAAAACGAAATTTGGGTGGAAAAAGAAATTGAAGAGCAAAATGCAAAGAAAACAGAGGAGAGGAGAGTCCATAACATTATCAAGAAGAGAAACAAGAGACACAAAAAGATAATTGAGAAATCAAGAAATGTTAAAAAAAAGCAAGCAAAAATATTTTTCCATAGGATCTTTTAAAGGGAAAATTGATTTTTCTTCTATTCCAGGCTTTTGAAAATATTCTGAGGAAAGAAATTTAAGGAAAATTGATTTTTCTTCTATTCCAGGTTTTTGAGAATGTTCCTTATTCTATTATAAAAAGAAATTTGGAAGGAAACAGAGATTCAAGAGCCTAGAATAGTAAGAAATTAAGAGGAGAAATCTATGAAAAATTGATAATTTCCAGGCTCTTGAATGTTCCTTATTCTCTTATGAAAATGAAATTTAGGAGCCTGTGATAAACAAAAATTGACACCAAAGACATGTAAGTAGTACATCTTGGTTTTTACTCAACTCCAAACCACTACAGCCACAGGTCATCAAGCACGATGTTGTCTGTCCCTTAAGGAAAATACACCAAAATGGTCTATAGACTACATCTTTTGAAGAGTATGTAAAGTAAGTATTTTATGCACAGAAGTAGAATTTTTTTCATGTGGCCTTACAAGGAATTATACCTTTCAAGATAAGTATGGCTGTTTTGAATGAAATTGAGCAAAAGTGTAGAAATTTAAAAAGATTTTTCAGAAATAATCCCAGGGATAAATGGACCATTTTGTATTTTACATTGCGGTTAAGTCAATCATGAAATATTGATAAATATTGACAATACACTGTAATACTTAGGGCCAAATCTATAGTCGTTTCTGAGGCTTCCTTGGGGAATTGTTTGTTAAGAATAGATACTTGCTATTATCCAATAAGTTTGCCATTCACATTCTAAACCATCAAGGTTTGCTCGAGGTCTGAGGAAACCTAAAGGAACAGCTACAAATTTGGCCTTTCCTTAGTTATAACCAGAGATTATTAAAACTTAGGGCCAGTTTCACAAACAATAGTAGGTAACCCAACAGTAACCACAAGACACTGGTAACCTACCATATACCTATCTGTTTCATAATGTGTGGTTTAGCTAAAACAAGCTTCAGATTATTGAATGTGGTCAACCCTGCAACTATGAGTTTGATAACCACTAATTGTGGAACTAGGCTTTAGGTGTAGAAATTTTGATAGGTGGTTAGCCCCCTTGGAGTATTTTATTGAAATAAGTAGAGAGAATACTTTAATCAAGAACCAGTAATAATCAATATTTAAGACTGGGTCTTTGATTGGTCTTGGAAAAATAATTCAGCAAATAAAGAAACCAATAACAATCAAAATTTGAATCATTACATTACAGGCTCTTGACTTGCTGAACATTTTTTTCAGAGACAATCAAGGGTAGGGTAACCAGATTTTCTTAAAAGTCAGGTCAGGTGACCTTTTAATAGAACCTGTGATTGGTTGGTGCTCATGCAAAACAGTGTGTGACAGCCTTAAGCAGTTCATTTAACTAGAAAAGTGGGACAAAATAAAAAACTACACTGTACAAAGACAATAATTATTATTCAATATCCATATACTTACTCGTCTTCAGTCACAGCCCTTTTCCTACTACCGGTGCCCCAAGAAGCGGTCATGGCATTCTGACTAATGGCATTCATCGTCGAGTAGCCCTGTTTGTTCAGCCCCGAGGGCTGTATGAAGCCTTGCCTGGGCCCAGCGCCCAAATTACTGGGCGGCGGCACCGCGTTGAGCCTTTTGGGCCCCGAAAATGCGCCCAAATTGCTCGGGGGCGGCACCGCGTTCATCTTTTTCGCAGTAAAGTTGGAATAATTGAATCCGCTCATTTTTAGTAGGGAAAAAGGGGGTTTGTTTTGATTGCAAACAGGATTGTGAGGTTAGAATCTCTATAACAGTAATTTAATACCTAAAAAGAATACCTAGTAATTATCGCACAAATATCGTAATACTAATTAATTGGAAAGTTTATTTTTCTAGTTGTTTTCACTTCAATTTATATCAATAAATTATTAATAAACAATAATAATTTTTTGACCATTTTCTTGACAGCACTCTCTATTCTCATTCTCTATGATCACACTAGCAGAGAAACCAGAAACCAATTATATTCATCCTTTTCTGTTACACTATACCCGAGAGAGAGATAAATACACTAACAAAAATCAATGTTAAAAGTACAAACAACAAATAATAGATGGCGCTAGTATAGTGTCATTGATTAGTATAGCTAAAAACGCTTTCCGCCATGGGTTTTTTAATAAAAAAAAGTAAATTTTCGCCATTGATTGATTTAAAAGAAACTCTTCCGCTTGCCCGAGCGAAAATAAATTCATTGTGCATCATTTTGCTCGTGCTGTGATTTTCTATGGAACCAACGGACCGATTCAACCCCTATATGACGTCGTGTTAACATGCCCTTGACCTAGGGGAGGATTTTTTTCTACAAAAATTGTCACATGGTGAGTTATTATTATTGAAATTTATTCGGATGGCCTTTTAGCTAGTAAGAGCAGTCATTCATTATTAAAGTTATTCTAGGAATTTCAAACCACAATAATATACCTACAAATTTGAATAAATTAGTAGGGGATGTTTATTAGGCAAGAGGGTAGAATTTTCATTAATGTGTTAGAAATTATAAGGTCTGTTCAAACAACAACAACGTCAAATGGACACCGGTCTGTACACGAAATTCTGTTTCTACTTTTTACGCACACACTTCGGGTTTTGCGCAGAATCGTGACGGTATATTATAATATACGGTTTCCTGCTGTGTTGGAACAAAGCTATAGTTTTAAGCCGATCTACTTATAGGTAAACGCCGAGAAATGCTCTAAAAAGCCATGTTTCTTTGCTCCATCAGACAACTCAGAAAATGTGTTTTTTTTTCTTGGTAGTCTGACTGATGATTCCGCAAGGACCGCAAGTGACCACTACATCTTACTTATCTAAACTATTTTCATTTTCCTGGTACCTGCAGTACCCTCTTGTCAGCCAACAGTTGCGGGTAGACCAAATGGGAGACTACAGCATTAGAGATCTGTTTGTATATCCCGAGAGAAACTCGTAGAATGAGTACTTAGGTACTTACAAATAGCAACAGTCAGGCCTTCGCTCTCTGGTTAGTGTGAAATTACTCCGCTGAGAAATTGTAAACGTTGATCAAAATTCTGCAGGATTTGAAGTATGAGTGACTCAGCCCATTTTGAATTGCTGTTTCCGTTCCCACTGATTCGTATTGTTCTCCCAGAGACTGGAGTTCCTTAATTTCTAGGAAAAAATCAAGAAGTGTATAAAGTCGTGGGTATTACTTTGAATGACAACACTGTGGAATCATTTTATACCGACCTCAAGTCGACACTCTGAATCTGAATCTCTATCGATTAGTGAAGTGGTCCATAAGCTATAGTCTTAGGCGAAGGGTAAACCACTAGTGGAAATCATTGTACATTTTTTTGGCAATCACATACTAAACAATCAGGAATAATATATGGAAATCACTTGGGAATCCCTGGGAATAACCTGGAAATCGCTAGGAATCTCCTTGGGCTTTATGAAAATCACATAGGAATCCATCGGCAATCGCTGAAAATCCTGTGGTAATCGCTGGAAATATAATGTCATTCTGACCCAGAAATCGCATCAGCATTTGAAACGATACGGCATAACAATCAGTTGTGTATTTGCCTTTAAGATTAAGTTTTAGGCATCATTGAGTGCTAGACAATTTGAAATCAATTTCATATCCCAACAAGTTTCCCAATAACTGAGCCAATAACTGAACCCAAAAGTACGAAGAGTTTAAAACTTGAAGAAGAAGAGGAAAAACGAGATGAAGATTCGGTCTGTTCTCATAGAAATCACAAAACATTTTTGATTGGTGCAAATCGCCAATAATCAGTTTTCTGACTATTTTCAACCAATGAAATTCGCTCTGACTGGTTTATGATTTCTGTGAGAACAGACCTAAAGTATGACAATATTGTAGATCATGAAAATGAAAACATGAATCTTGAAACCTCTCTCGAATAGGACTTGCCAAAAGAAGACACAGAATTTCTTTACACATCAGGGTTAAGCAATTGCGATTCACTACAATTAGGAGATTATTCAGGGCTAAGTTGGTTTTTTTCAGAGAAGCAGGGACGTTTTTCGATCAAGTATTAAGAGCTACGGGAATGTCCCTGAGAAAGACACAAAAGAAAAAGTCGGGAATCCAAGGCAATAAGAAATTGAAAAGGGAAAGCAGAATAAATACTAAGTAGGCAGGGCGAGAAGCAGAGAGGATGGCACATCTGAATCAGAAATAAGTTTGTCGAGTGAAACCCTAACTGAAAATGTCTCTGATTCAGATGAACATCCTAGTGAAATCAAAGAAATATCCATTAGATCCATAATATGAAATGTGGACACGCAATGGTATCAGGGCTCAACAACTATTTATACCTACAACCAAATCTGTGTGGGTGTGGACCTTGGATAACCATGAAAATAAAAGTTGCTTACTTTTGAAAGAGTTGCAAATACAGAAGTAGCCAATTTTTCAGTGGAAACGTGTTTTCATAGGAGAATAGACTGTTTATTTTGGTCATATCAATGCGAAGCTAAACAATTAGACATCGTTTTCGTAATAAAATCAGCAGGATGATTGTAGGAAATCATCGAGGAAATCAGGTAATCAATTGAAAGAATCTACAAAAAAAAAAAATGGAAATCACCTGGTAATTATAAAAAATATCTGAAAATTATTGGCATTCAGTCGCAATTCTTGAAATAGGAAAACATGGGATTCATTGATCAGATTGCCAAATATGGAAATCATTGTACCGGGTGATTGTCTATATTTTGCACCCACACATATCTCACCTGTTTGAAGAGATACCCAGAAATGCCAAACGTGAACGTTGTAGATAATATCAGAAGATTTTCAATGATGTTAGTTTCAAGTCTACAGGGTGTCACAAAAATGTGGTGAAGCAAAGTTATACTTTTCAAATGGAAAACCCCGTATATTATTGTCCCATTGGATTAGCCTTTCAAACCTGATTCCAAATGTACTAGGCTTTTTAGGTTTATTCCTCATAGTTCAGCCTGCGAATATACCATTTCGAAGAAATAATATGGATTTTTTACACGAATGATTACCTTTATATTTTGCTGGTGGTCTCTATACTTCACTTTTTTCAATAAACATGCAAATATTCCACCCCTTATTGTCCTAATTTCTCCTGGACTATTAGGAATAAACCTAAAACACCTAGTATATTTGGAATCGGGTTTGAACAGCTAATTCTATGGGACAATAATATATGGGGTTTTCCATTTAAAAAAGTATAACTTTGCTACGCCACACTTTTGTGACACACCCTGTAGACTCGTAACTAACATCATTGAACACTTTCTGATATTACCTACAACTTTCACACGACATTTCTGAGTATCTCTTCAAACAGGTGAGATAGGTGTGGGTGCAAAATATAGACAATCACCCGGTACATTTGTAAGCATAGTAGTTGACCCCTCGCGCGGTTTTAAGCCAATCTACTAGTAGAAGCAGAAAAATGATCTAAAAAGCCATATATCCTTGCTCAATTAAATATTTCAAATTAGAAACAGAATAAGGCAGAACACAATCCACAAAATGTATTTTCTTGGTAATCTGATGAACAATTATCGCCTATTGATCTCTCATTCAAGCAAGGTTATGCTGTATATTCTGCAGTCTCTTCTGGAGGACTTTGTCTTTGTAAACTGGCGAATATTTCCAGAGCAGGCACGTTTTGTGAAGGAACGTGCATGGTACTCTGTGAATCTTGAACTTGAGGCAGATTATTGAAGAAGCCAAAGAGCATTACTTTTCAATATCTGGTTTGTAGACTACCCTAAGGCATTTGACAACGTAAAGTGACCTGAACTATGGGAAACTTTTCTCTCTATGAGAGTTTTCCATAACCTGACTTCTCATACAACAGCTCTATAGGTCCAACACAGCTTGAGTAAGAATTGATGATAGCTTATGTTTGATCAGACTACAATAAGAAAAGGAAGGTCTATAAACCTAGCAGTCCCAAGGTGGAGAAAAACTTCGGGAACTATATAATAATCAGGTGCTTTTTAGATGCTAATTAGGGCCTTTAATTAAAAATTAGGTGCTCCTCTAGTTTTTGAGAAAATTAAAAAAAAAACTGAGTTACAGTTTTTGATATTTGTTTGACACATATATGTCATTTTTATTTAAACAAAATTCCAGTATGGCACAAAATCCTCACTACTACGTAACCCATACAAATCCGGAAATATTAACAGTTACTCCACGACCTGGAGGACTGGCCAAAATCGCCTTGCCCGCGAAACGTAATCGTCTAAAAGAGCATGCAACAAAACTGAGAAAAGCCGAACTTGACGTCGACAAATTGGGTAGATCCAGATCTGGCACGAGAAAAAAATCGACCGCCTCAACAGGCGATGAATCCGTAGGAGCTGGCAGCAGAAAAAGCCTGCTCACCTGCACACCTCATCTTGACGATCCCGCGGAAATGTCCAGGGACAATTTTCCGAAGGAATACAAGGTGAAACAAATTATTGCGGCGACGCCTTGGTCAGTTGAATTCGACGAATACCTCGACCCCAATCTCGAATCTACTATAATCCCGGACCCCTTCCAGGACTCCGTCGATATGCTTGCGATGACAATAAGCGTGATAATGCTTATGTCTAAGGGGTACGACAAAATTGACCCCACTCACCTCAGATGGGTGCTCAGCTATTTGGAGTGTATCAAAGACGATTTCGATCAAACCCCTCCGAACGTCCAAGGAATTATTAATCATATTAATAAAATGACTGGAGGTCAAATTAAATCTTTCCTGGATCATGAGCCGGATGAATTGGAACCAAGGACAACTGTGCGGATTTCCGTAGATCCACCAGGTGAATTAGCACCTGCCAAGGAACCTGCTGAACCAGTAGATGCCATTATGGTCGGATACGATGTAAGGTCATTGTAGCTGGAGGTAAAATAAGGTCTTTCCTTGGATCAAATGGTGTGCGGATTTCCCCAAAGAAAAAAAGCATTGTCGATCCGATGTAAATCTAAATGTAATAAGCACAGCTGCTTAATCCTTCTCTAGTTACTTTAATTAACTTTGTCAGTTATAATAAACACAAAGGAGGTTTCAATTATCAAAGGCCTCCGTAGTAATTACCCTCATGTGTCATATTTTGCGCAAACGAAATCATGCGGACGTGGTTTTATGTATTTCAAAGGGCCAGTTGCATATTGAAGCTTGAAAATTCTACGCCAATGTGCTTCGATGATTTGCGGATTTTCTGCAAAACTGTACGATGTCCCTAGAGATGAGGTTTTCATTTGAAAGGAGGGTGGAATTGCATAGGGTAGGGTGATAATATTGCCCTAAATGTGGTAATATTATTTGGGAGTTTCGACCTTGTGACACACAAACGAACTGTCCTGTATTCATGGTAGGGTTTTTGGGTTTTTTTGCGGATTATTCTGATAGTGTTTGTGTTTACTTAGAGTGGACTTACTGCATACCAAATATTGAAATGTCTGTCAAATTTTGCATATTGCATAAGGCAGTGGACATCAGACCACAAGGTTTACCGAGACAGTTTTTGCCTCGCAGCTCCGTTAATTTTCATCCAATTGCAGTGTAATCAAGCTCTAATTGAAGCTTATTAAATTTTCTATGAACCGGTGAATTAAGATTTGAATTTGGCCCAAAGCAAACTGGGTTTTTGTCAATATTGTTAATGGGTTTTTGTGTTAAAAACCCACTATTGTCCAGTTAAACAAATGTCACTTATCGATCTCAATTGACTGCCATCGTGGTTGTTAATACAAAACAAATTTTCGATCCTTTGTCGTGTTATTATGATGATCCGGGGGCCCATTATGAAGGGCATTATTTCAATATTGATTAGCTGTCAGCGGAGGGCCTGGATTGATTGATACACCCCTGGTATATTATCATGTGCTTAATAATGGGGATGGTATAATATAAGCAATTTGCAAATTGTCTTGCGAAGCGACATCTGGACATTTTTAAGAAATTCCATTGAACACAATAATCGACTTAATAACACATTATCTAATCGGAATAAACACAAACACTTCATTGTTTATAATGTTTATATATTCTATAAAAACAGGCCGGCAACGCCGCAGTTGAATCATTTTATTTTATCGCAAATTGTTTTGTGTATTCGTTTTTCATCAGCAGTCAAAATGCACCAGTAAGCAGTATTAGTGAGCTTAAGATAATTTAGTATACGATTTACTTTTCAAGTGTGACAATAATAACAGTGCAACATGGACAAGATTAAGGTAAGTTTACAGATTTATTAGAGAGTTATTGGAACTATTAAATACTGCCTCGCAGTATTAAGAATCTACGTTATTTTATTAGTGCATCAGCACTATTTTTCCAAGAAAAAAACAGTTATTGGAAGACTGTAGTAGGTGCTAGAGTATTACCTTATTTTGTATTCATAATTTTGACAGCTGATAGCTATGCTTATAAATTTCAGCCTCAAAAAGGGTTTATTTTTGTTTGTGATTTTCTGCTGATACCGATTTTTTTATGTTACCTACAGTAAAATGGAAAACTATTGTAAAAAATAAATTTTCTAAGTAAAATTACGTCATCGTCGAAAAGCGAAACGTCAAAGTCGTCCAAAATGTCAGAAATTTAAAATAAGGGAAGTTTACTGCCTCGCACTAACCATACACAAATAAAGACAAGCAGTAACCTTATTAAGGGAATCCTTATTTTCGGACCCAAATGCGCATGCGTAGATGTCAAAATAAGGCTAATTTAAATACTGCTTGTCCTTATTGCACGTCCAATAACTCTCTATTGTGTCCAAATTCAAATAGCTTATTATTTAGAAACAGCCAATCAAAGACTTGTCATTATTGGATCAAACAAAAATGCTCGAGTGTTCAATATGCCTGGACGTGGTTGTTCCGCCGATTGTCCAATGCGAAGTCGGACATATAATGTGCAAAAAATGCGTGGAATCCGTACATTTGAAACATTGTCCTATTTGCAGACAACCGATAACCAACAGGAGACATGTCGCTTTTGAACAACTCCTCGAAAGTGTCAGGTTTGGGTTTGATTTGAAACCTTCCCTATAGCTGGTCAACTAAATTATTTATTTGTAGAGGCAAACTCGAAACTGAATGTCGATTTTCAGCTAAAGGTTGCAAATATAAAGTTGCAGTCTCGGACAAGGACAATCACGAACGCGATTGTAGGCATAGGACTTTTAGGTGCGAGGGAAAAATTTTCGCCGATTGGACGTGCGATTGGACCGGAGAATATAGCGAACTTGAAAACCATTTCAAGGTTAGAATATTTGTTTGTTTGTCCAACAAAAACAAATCATGATTGTTTGTCTCTTCAATGAAGAACGGTACAACCTTATAGTAGTTTATTATACATCAGACAGTACCAGGTTACTAGACACATATAGGTTTCAATGATCTGAATATAAAATTTTGTATGTTTTTGTATGAATCTCTATTCGTAGGTCGACTGAGTACGCCACTGGTAGCACCCTGTTTCTAACAACCCTCTCAACCATCCCTGTTAGTATGAATTTAATCCTATGTAAAGCTTTTGAATAATTGTCATCTGATTATAAAATTTTGTATATTTTCGTATGAATCTCCATTCGTAGGTCGATCGAGTGTACGCCACTGGTATCACCCTGGGGTTTTATGGGAAGGTTTATTTGCTTTTGTCTTAAGCTCTATCAAAATTTCCCGTGTCATTTTGAGTGTCTTTCAAAGAAAAATTTGAAGTCAGAGATTCCCCCGGAAACTTTCAATTTAAATGAATGCCTTTCGGACTTAAAAATGCCCCATCCACCTTCCATCAAGCCATGATCAACGTTTTCCGGGACTTACAGAATAAAACCTTGGTGTACGCTATTGGTATCACCTTGTTTCTGACAACTCTCTCAACCTCCCCTGTTAGTATGAATTTATTCCTATATGTACTACAGAGTGAGCTACTATATTTTGACACCCACCTGCAGCCGTAATTACAGGTGATAGGTGAAAGGTGTAAATACAAAAATTGTAGCATTTCATCTGAACCGCCAGAATTTTCAATGAGATTCAACAAATGAGCAACACAAAGTGGAAAATTATGTCAATGTTCACTTTTTTCAAATGGAATGCCCTTTATTGTCTTTCAAATTCCTAAAGTTATCGTTTTTCTGACTCAGATTACCTATATAATATGTTAGTGTTTCTGTCGATAGTTTTCGAAATATCTGGAGTTTAGTTATTCAAAGAGAGTAGTTTTTTGAATAAATTTTACCTTGATTTACCTGTTACCTGTCACAAAATATTGTGATACGTGAATAGATCTTTGAATAACTAAACTTCAGATATTTCTAAAACTATTGAAAGAAACATTAACATATTATATAATCTGAATCAAAAAAACGAGAACTTTAAGAATTTGAAAGAAAATAGAGTGCATTCCATTTAAAAAAAGTGAACATTGACATATTTTTCCACTTGTCTTGCTCATTTGTTCAATCTAATTGAAAATTCTGGCGCTTCAGATAAAATGCTACAACTTTTGTATTTACACTTTTCACCTATCACCTGTAATTACGGATGCAGGTAGGTGTCAAAATATAGTGACTCACCCTGTACAGTTTTTGAATAATTGTCATCTGATTATAAAATTTTGTATATTTTTATATGAATCTCCATTTGTAGGTCGACCCAGTGTACGCCACTGGTATCACCCTGTTTCTGATCACCCCTTCAACCTTCCCTGTTAATATTAATTTAATCCCATGTACAGTTTCTGACTAATTATCATCTGATTTTATAATTTTGTATATTTTCGTGTGAATCCCCATTCGTAGGTCGATCGAGTGTACGCCACTGGTATCACCCTGGGGTTTTATGGGAAGATTTATTTACTTTTGTCTTAAGCTCTATCAAAATTTTCCGTGTCATTTTGAGTGTCTTTTACTCTCAAAGAAGAATTTGAAATCAGAGATTTCCACGGACACTTTGAATTTCAATGAATGCCTTTCGGACTTAAAAATGCCCCGTCCACCTTCCATCCAGCCATGATTAACGTTTTCCGAGGTTTACAAAACGAACCCTGTTTAGTGGTTGTTATTGACATAATAATTTTTGTTTTTTTCTTTATTCTTTCTCTAGTTCAGAGCAATTAGGGGTCAGGGGTAAACAAATTAGCTTAAAGCTGCGACCAACATTATTCGATAGCTTTTAGGTTCCCTATGAGCATACTAAAAATCCCCATTGCTGTGATTGGAGGAACATCCCGAAATCTGGTCCGCCATCTTGATTTTCCGCACTTTTTCCTAGTTTGCTTCAATATCTTGAAAACAAATAGGAATTTGAAAAATGTTCAATAGAACTGGATATAAAATAGGTCTGAGCCCTACCCGACACGTTCCTGGTTCCTTCAAAAATTTCAGATTAGCTTAAATGTTCGATACATAAGGAGAATTCTTATTTCCAGGATGTAACTCTCTGAAAACTAGCCCGCGAGCTTGCATTTTTAACCAAATTCTAGAGGATTAAGATTATTTCCTTATCATTGTTGTATTTGGTTATACACTCTTGAGCAGTGATATTTTAAAGAGTCTGGGGAGCAGACAGACGGAGCTCCGGAGGATGCCGAACAAACGATATTCCGCGTGTGGCTAAATTCACCAAAAAGTTGCACCGATCCTGTGTGAAATGGTCCCGGGTTCGATTCTCGTTGAAGGCAATGCATTTTTTTCCAGGTTTTTTGTTTCTTTAGGGTTTTTATTTTTCTTCTGAAGAATATTAAGAGGACGGGTTAGTTTGGATTAGTGTTGATTTTCTCTGTCTCGTTGAAAATACCAACATACAAAGATTAGCACTTATCACGAATTATGGAGCTCCACCTGTCTATTCCCCAGACTCTTGTGTGATATTTGACCGCATCTGAGGTAGGTGGAAGAGTTGCAAGTTCGGGTAATGGACCATTGCGCGCCGCGGTCAGAAAATTTTTCAGGTATCACTAATACCAAGGGCCGATTTTCTATGGAAATAGAATAAAAAATAAAAAGTTGAAGGAAAACACATGGTTTGAAGAGGAAACATTTATTTTATTTTTTCACAAATTTATAGGATACGCTTTTTATGAATTCGAAGGGCTTCTTCAGCAAACACATTGCCAACTCCGGCCGGCCGGGTCCAAATACAATATAACAAATGTCCAGCAGTACAGCGTAACTATTTGCCTATGATTCGAGTCTAAAGTATTTATTCCAAAGATTAAGTAGTAGGTAAACCATCATATCCATCAAAAACCACTGTACAATTGAATGAACTTTTCATATTGCTCAAAAATTTCTGCATAGGTGAGTTTGTGAAGTATGTAGCCTCCATCTAGTACAAAAATTTGGAACACTAGATAAAGGCTTTCATTTCGTGTCCATATACGTCAAAAGAGCTGTATACGTATGTAAAATAATAACAAAAATAGTTAGCCGAAATGGCATAGGTATAAGTGTAATATTTTCAATATTTGGAGGTCTGCAGAGACATCCACAGTTTGTGAATGTTGTTATATTTCATCGCTCTTACAGAAAAATCACATTTAGAAACTTTTTTGTCTCCTGACAATTTTTGATAAACCTTACAGTGTTCGAGATATTGGTACAAATTTAATAAAAGAACGAAAAATCAAGATGGCGGACTGGATTTGGGGATGTGCCACCAATCACAGCTACGGGGACTTTTAGTATGTTCATAAGGACAAAACTATCGAACACGAGTGGTGGCAGCTTTAAGCTAATTTGTTGAGGTCAAGCATATACCATTTCATAAGTGCACCGGAATATTTGTGCACATTCTCGATCCACCCCTGATTCAACCTGGCGTTTTTACCCAGTAAATATATACAAAGGTAGTCAAGAGAATCAGCAAACCAACAGAGAATATAAATTGGAAATATTAAATAAGACTTAGACTCAATGTTTGGGGAGATAGTTTGCTTTATTATAAAGCACAAAAATTTTCATATATTCAGTTTGATGAAACTTTTACACAATCATCAATCATCACACGCTCAAGGCAGTACCAAAAATTTCCCAGAGTATAACTAATAGGTGGTGTTCCCGTAGGACCTTGGTGTACGCCATTGGTATCACCCTGTTTCTGACAACTCTCTCAACCTTCCCTATTAGTATGAATTTAATCCCATGTACAGTTTTTGAATAATTGTCATCTGATTGTAAAATTTTATAGATTTTCGTATGAATCTCCATTCGTATGTTAATCGAGTTTACGCCACTGGTATCACCCTAGGGTTTTATGGGAAAGTTTATTTGCTTTTGTCTTAAGCTCTATCAAAATTTCCCGTGTCATTTTGAGTGTCTTTCAAAGAAGAATTTGAAGTCAGAGATTTCCCCGGACACTTTGAGTTTAAATGAATGCCTTTCGGACTTAAAAATGCCCCGTCCACCTTCCATCGACCCATGATCAACGTTTTCCGAGACTTACAATACGAAACCTGTTTAGTGTAACTCGATATGACATAATAATTTTTGTTTTCTCTTAATTCTTTCACAAATTCGTACATATTCTCTATCCACTCCTGGCAGTACCAAAAATTTCCCAGAGTATAACTAATAGGTCTCTATTAGTATGAATTTAATCCCATGTACAGTTTTTGAATAATTGTCATCTGATTACATAATTTTGTATATTTTCGTATGAATCTCTATTCGTAGGTCGATCGAGTGTACGCCACTGGTATCACCCTGGGGTTTTATGGGAAGGTTTATTTACTTTTTTCTTAAGCTCTATCAAAATTTCCCGTGTCATTTTGAGTGTCTCTCCAAGAAGAATTTGAAGTCAGAGATTCCCCTGGACACTTTGAATTTAAATGAATGCCTTTCGGACTTAAAAATGACCCGTCTACCTTCCATTGAGCCATGATCAACGTTTTCCGAGGCTTACAAAACGAAACTTGTTTAGTGTAACTCGATATGACATAATAATTTTTGTTTTATTTCTCAATTCTTTCACAAATTCGTACACATTCTCAATTCACCCCTGGTTCTGGTGTCTAGTAGATCTGTTTGTGTACCTGTCGCTATAATTCCTTCACCTTGTCTAAGTAATACATGTAATGTGTCTTTTCCATCTTGACAATGTTCAAATTAGAATCCAAGAAGATTTTCTGAATTATTGTTATTTCTATTTTAGACAGCACACAAATCCAACGCAACAATGCAATACACAACGAAAGCATCCATAAAGGTAAACTTCAACCACGAATACAAAGACTTGCAATTGATATCGTTTTTCAACGGACAAGCTTACTTCTATTACAAACATTTCGTGGACAAAAACAACGAAAAATTATATTGGACGATTCAGTATGTGGGTCTGCAAAGCAACGCCGTCCACTATTTCTACGAGTTCGAAATAGCCAACGGGCCGATAAGGAAAATTAAAGTTACCGAAATTTGCTACAACGACACGAAGATTTGCAAGGAGATTTTCGAGGAGGAAAAATGCGTGGTTGTTCCCTTTAAAGCTGCCAAGAGTTATCTGAATGAAAACGGAGAGCTGGCTTTTAGGTTTAGAATCACTAAAATTAAACATTGAAGTTGCATTTTGTTTTATACTTTTTTGATGAATAAAGGCTTCTAGCACATATTCCTATTGGTCAGCAATGAAAAACGAACCATTCTTATTGGTTTGAGTCGAAAAACCACAATGGCACACAATGGTCCCAAAAACCAAACAATAAAGGGAATTATAATATTGTCGGTGTTCGGCCTGCTAGAGCTAATGCCGCTTTAATGCTTTGCCGGTACGTCTCTGATAAATTATTATTGAAATTGCCCGGGCGATTGTTTTTGTTTCGTTAAGCGGAAGGTCGGATTTTCAGCAGGTGGATTTGAGGACGCCTATAAGGGATTTTCGGTTATAAATGAAGCTAGTTTTGGGAGCACTGTGGAGAAAACAATGATGTTATTTGGATGGGGTTTTATGGGAAGGTTTATTGAGCTCTATCAAAATTTCTCTTGTTATTTTGAATGCCTCTCTGGACACTTTGAATTTTAACGAATGCCTTTCGGACTTAAAAATGCCCCGTACACCTTCCAACGTGTCATGATTAACGTTCTCCGAGGCTTACAAAACGAACCCTGTTTAGGGGTTGTTATTAACATAATAATTTTTGTTTTTTTCTTGATTATTTCACAAATTCTCGATTGTCCAGCAAATATATACAGAGGTAGTCAAGAGAATCAGACAACAATTGAAAATATCAAATGAGATTTAGACTCAATGTTTAGGAGAATGGTTTGCTCTGTTATTTAACACAAAAATTTCCATATATTCAGTTTCATAAAACTTTTACCCAACCATCAATCATCACACGCTCAAGGCAATACCAAAAAATTTCCCAGAGTATAACTAATAGGTGGTGTTCCCGTAGGACCTTGCCTGTCACTTCCTACCCCCCTCATACGATAAACGAGAAAAGCTTGACGGTTTGTTTTATCCCGTATATATATAAATGTATTTCCTTAAAAGTATCAAGTTTCTGTTTTTTGATCTGCCATGGGAATAGACTTGTATCATGGACATGTTTGATAACAACAAACTTTCCTCTCTCGAAGCGACAAATGATATTATACGTGTGAGTTTTTGAGCAAAACAGTTCAATCTGAACCCAACACACGTCTATTTCTTATTTTCGACTTATACGCACATCCATTTTCCTTCAAATATTGCCTACATTTCACGGGCCTTATCCGGTTTGAGCGTTTGCATATTTGAATTATTATCAGTCACGTACGAGGCGAGATTTTTGCTATTCGGTTTTTATTTTTTTCTCGTCTTTCGACGTTATTTGGGTTTTATGAGTGATCGGAGAGTTTTATTGCAAATTGATTTGTGATCACATCATCATCATAGTCACAATGTATTGCCGGACATGTTGTGAATGGAAACGTTGGTTCGGTGTAGTGTATAAGGAACTCTTAGCATTCTTCTTCAAGTCCACATTCCAAAATGCATCTATGTAATGGCAATCTGCTTTTCTAACAATCCAAATAAAAAAAATATGGAAAAGACAAGAGACATTCTGGTGGCTATTATTGTCACGCCATATTTTATTTAGTCTTGTCATGGCTGACCGTGCTTGGTGAATGCGCCGACGGATTTCAACCTCGAATGGTCGATCAAAGAACCGAGGTATACAAAACTCTGTCTTGTCATGTTCCCTTTCAACGATGTTGATAGGGATTACCTTGGTCCTATAGTTGATACTGAGACCACATGTTACACTATGTTGTTTTACGATGTTGAGTAAGGTTAACCCTTCACAAGCAATAAGAATAGTAACAAATTAATTGCCCTTTGCCTAATCTACCCCGTCTGATATTGGAACAAAACCATCTATTAGCCACGTGAAAAATCGCGGTGAAATTGTTTTTGTCAGTCTTCACTCTATTAGGGGCTTTTCGTAATGGAAAAGAAAGAGACTTTTTTTGAACATCCGTACGTATTTATACAAAACAAGGGTGTTAGTGGGTGATTAATTAATGTCTACTCTATTTTTGAAACAAGGAAAGATACAATGACTGTGGTATAATTGATGAAATACCAGGAATAAATTGATTCTTTTTATCATTGTCCAGAATTTGGTTGGTACTTGGATAAGTTAAGAGTTATTTTGCGAAATGTCGCATGTGTAAAAGTTTTCCACCCCCTTTATGGTGAAAACAAGAGGGTGAACCGATAACAAAAAGTGTGCACAGTGCATAAATCCTTATGGGCACATAAATCAAACTGATCAATGGGCTCATTATAGCGGCCCAGTGGCCCAGTGACACAAGCGAAACCCATAAGGGTCTCTTATTAAATCCTTCTCTGCGATTGTTGTTGAATAAGTAGAAATCCTTGTTGTAAAATTTGAAGAAATAATGGATTTGTCATTTTTCGAGAGGGGCAAAATGACTTAAGTAACAGCTCCGTTTGTGGCATCGTGTCTTTCAGGAAGTTTATGGAATTAGAACGATTTCGGATGTTATTTTGTGAAAAGCTTCACTCGGGGATGAAATTAAGTTTTGACTGGCAGGATAAAACACTTATCTTGTTTAGACTTTTCTAAAAATAAAACCTACTAATTGATGCCACAAATGTATACTTATACATAAAGCAATTTTATAGTGAAACTTCCCGCCACAGGGTTTCGATACACACGCGACCTTACACAATTACGACCCATTGAAAAACAGGGTCCCCTGGAACGGACCCTAGTGTCGTGTGAGTAAAATAATATTTACGGCTCATCTGAATTTTTTATTATGTGCGTTTGGCAATAAAAAATAACGAGCCGTAGGTCCGGTAGTGTGCCGCACAAATCTTGTGGGAATTGATTAGTGCAGGATTACAGTGTTCGGTAATCAGGCTGTTTTAATTATGTTATGTAAGTAACTGTAAGAAAGTTCTATTGTATTGTACCTACCTAGTGATAATAGTATCATGTACTCTGGTTCCTATTCCTTTTGGATATAATATTCTCACCTCAGATTGTGACAGATTCTGGTCTATAAATAAAAACCATCCTGTATATTCAAAACCCATTAATTAAAACTAGGAGAATCAGTTGAATCCCCGTATACCAGTATATTATATAGAGCACCGAACGTGAGAATCATGTGGTGCACCTACGTAGTGCCCCTTTGGTGTTGTGCCCACTAGCAGACAATAGGTTTGTTTCTGCAGAAATGACAAACCAGTAAATTTCATTGGCTGAAACTAGTTTTCTGACTGCTTTCAACCAATGAAATTCGCTCTGACTAGTTTGTGATTTTTTGCATGAAGACCTCCTTTTTGTAGTTGTGTGTGTTTTCCTGAAGAGCAACCCCTAACCTGAGATTCTACCCACATTGTTAAGGAATTTGGGGTGGTTTATCAATTTCTCAATTTTTCTGAGTGCTTTTTTTCATAGATTTCGGCTTCAAATCTGAGTTTCAGCTTATTTGCACTTATGGTTCCTGAGATAAAATTGTGTTAAGCAATTTGGGGTGATTTATCAATTTCTCAATTTTTCTGAGTGCCTTTTTTCATAGATTTCGACTTCAAATCTGAGAATAATTTAGTGTATGGAGTTTGGGGTATGTTGATTGATCATTAGGATACAAAATCTCGACAAAAAAAATTTTGAAATTTTATCGTTTTAGTAAGAAGGTACCTCTTATGATTTAGATTTTGGAAAACATTGAAAGATCATAACTTTTTTGCTATTATAGATAGAAAGCTGAAATTTTCAGCGATTCTTACTCCAGTAGAGGGCTTCAATCCCTGAAAATTTCAACTCATTTGCACTTATAGTTCCTGAGATAAAATTGTGTTAAGCAATTTGGGGTGATTTATCAATTTTTCAATGTTTCTGAGTGCCTTTTTTCATAGATTTCGACTTCAAATCTGAGAATAATTTAGTGTATGGAGTTTGGGGTATGTTGATTGATCATTAGGATACAAAATCTCGACAAAAACAATTTTGAAATTTTATTGTTTTAGTAAGAAGGTACCTACCTTATGATTTAGATTTTGGAAAACATTGAAAGGTCATAACTTTTTTGCTATTATAGATAGAAAGCTGAAATTTTCAGCGATTCTTACTCCAGTAGAGGACTTCAATCCCTGAAAATTTCAACTCATTTGCACTTATAGTTCCTGAGATAAAATTGTGTTAAGCAATTTGGGGTGATTTATCAATTTTTCTATTTTTCTGAGTGCCTTTTTTCATAAATTTCGACTTCAAATCTGAGAATAATTTAGTGTATGGAGTTTGGGGTATGTTGATTGATCATTAGGATACAAAATCTCGACAAAAACAATTTTGAAATTTTATTGTTTTAGTAAGAAGGTACCTACCTTATGATTTAGATTTTGGAAAACATTGAAAGGTCATAACTTTTTTGCTATTATAGATAGAAAGCTGAAATTTTCAGCGATTCTTACTCCAGTAGAGGGCTTCAATCCCTGAAAATTTCAACTCATTTGCACTTATAGTTCCTGAGATAAAATTGTGTTAAGCAATTTGGGGTGATTTATCAATTTTTCAATGTTTCTGAGTGCCTTTTTTCATAGATTTCGACTTCAAATCTGAGAATAATTTAGTGTATGGAGTTTGGGGTATGTTGATTGATCATTAGGATACAAAGTCTCGACAAAAAAATTTTTGAAATTTTATCGTTTTAGTAAGAAGGTACCTACCTTATGATTTAGATTTTGGAAAACATTGAAAGGTCATAACTTTTTTGCTATTCTAGATAGAAAGCTGAAATTTTCAGCGATTCTTACTCCAGTAGAGGACTTCAATCCCTGAAAATTTCAACTCATTTGCACTTATAGTTCCTGAGATAAAATTGTGTTAAGCAATTTGGGGTGATTTATCAATTTTTCAATGTTTCTGAGTGCCTTTTTTCATAGATTTCGACTTCAAATCTGAGAATAATTTAGTGTATGGAGTTTGGGGTATGTTGATTGATCATTAGGATACAAAATCTCGACAAAAAAAATTTTGAAATTTTATCGTTTTAGTAAGAAGGTACCTTATGATTTAGATTTTGGAAAACATTGAAAGGTCATAACTTTTTTGCTATTATAGATAGAAAGCTGAAATTTTCAGCGATTCTTATTCCAGTAGAGGGC